GTCTCTTTGGATTTGACACCTCTAGGGACCTCCTATGAGTGGAATCAGACAGTATTTATCCTTTCGTGTCTGGCTTCTTTCACTGAGCATCACGTCCTCAAGGTTCGTCCATGTTGTAGCAGGTGTCAAATTAACTGCAGTGGCCACACCCATTCTACCACTCCATCACTGATTAAAAAATGAATTAACAAAAGGTCTCTTGGAGAAAAGGATATTGGCCAAACACATGAGGATCTTCCCAAGGACAGGGAACAGCAAGTGCAAAGGTCCTGAGGTGGGGCTGAGCTCCATATGTTTGCTAGGCTGGAACAGGAAGCTCAGGGGAGGGTGGATATTGAACAGGGAGAATGTGACACTTTTTCACCTCCCTCCAAGTGATGCTGGCTTCCTGCCCTTTCTGTGCCTCAGTTTCCTATCCATACCCAGGACAGACCCCAGGGAGCTCAAAGGTCCCTGGGTCCCTCACCACTTCTCCCTTCTGAGTACCAGGGTGCCCCTTGCCTCATTTGCATATTCAGATGAGGCCTTGGGGCTGGGGGTTCTGGGAGAACCCTGGCCACACCCATGCCTTTCTGGGGATGTCACTGGTTCTGACCGGGAGGAAGCACTGTAATTGCTCTAATTTCCACTCACAAATCAGGCAGGGAATGCTACTGCTTCTCTCTCTACTGTTTCCCAGGGGTATGTCTGGCACTTGGAGCTCCAGCCAGACACACAGTGAGCTCAAGCCACAGCCCTGGGTCCAAGGGGCTGCAGAGAGGGTCTCAGGCTGGACAGCCCCCAGCCACCCCCGCTGGCTGCCTGGCTGAAGGCCTACTGTGTGCCAGGCCTGGCACTCACCCTCTCCACTGCAATGGAGGGGGACTCGGGCAAACTCTAGGGCCAAGCATCCTGGGTTTAAATCCTTGCTCTGGCTCAAAATGTGTACAGTACCTGGAGCTATGCAGTGCACGCAGCAGGCACTTAATAAGTGCTCCTGAAGTTATTACTTCACTGGATACCTCTCCCCCAGCCTGAAGAGGTGGCCTCACGTTGCCCCATTTTGCTGCCGAGGGGACTGAGCGACCCTGGGCTCCTGCCCAGCTGGGCCTCAGTTTCCCCATCTGTACAATGAAGGCAGAGCTCTCAGGCCCCCATTCATTCATTCATTTGTTCAACACATTTGTTGAATGCTTACTGTGTGCCAGGCCCTGTTCTAGACGCTGGGGACACAGCCATGACCAAGGCAGACTCTGGCCCTGCCCTGGCAGAGCTGATTGCAGGGGTGGGGCAGGAGAGAAACAAATGGATAAAAGAAATACTGTTGGTGGGTTTCCCTGGTGGTGCAGTGGTTAAGAATCCGCCTGCCAATGCAGGCGATGCAGGTTCGAGCCCTGGTCTGGGAAGATCCCACATGCCGTGGAGCAGCTAAGCCCATGCACCACAACCACTGAGTCCGTGCTACACAACTACTGAAGCCTGCGCGCCTAGAGCCTGAGCTCCGCAACAAGAGAAAGACCGGGGGCAGCAAGGAAGACCCAATGCAGCTAAAAATAAACAAATAATAAGAATAAATTACTTATAAAAATTTTAAAAAGAACCTTCCAAGCTAGGAGGTCCCTTGGAAATGGTTAAAAGCATGGGGTTCAAATTCCAGTTTTATCTCCTGGCTCTGTGACTGGCCAAGCCATTTCTCTCTGGGCCTCAGTTACCACACCTGAAAAATGGGACAATAACAGTAGTCATGCTCTAGAATCATGGGACTACATATAGTAGGTGCTCCATAAATGTTAGCTCATCATTATCATTATTACTATATGCACAAAATGAGTCATTTTCCCAGCCCAGGGGTGCTGTGTCGTCTCTGGAAAGGGCTACACCCTCTCTGGGCACCAGGTCCCCCAAATGCTCCAAAGGCCCCAGGACTATTTTTGAATCTGGAGAAAAGTCCCAGAGAGGAGCCCTTCAGCCTGCCTGCGAGCAGGCAGGGGTCAAAGGGCAAGAGGCAGGGATGGGTCAAGGCCATGCCCCCCCCCCCACACGCACATGCACACACACCGCACCATGGGCTCTAGGCGGTTAGCTCTGCGGAGGGACCAGCTGGGCGGATTTAGCCAGCGCATCTGCCGCCGGAACAGCTGCCGTTGGGGGGGGGCGGGGCTGGAGGGGGATATGGGACGAGGGAAAAATCTGTCCGAGGAGAATCGCGTCTGCGCTAACCAGCTGCAGACTCAGACTGGGGGGACACCCCAAATCCGCCCGGACCCCGGGCCCCTCCCCTGCTGCGGTCGCCCCCACGTGCCTCTGGGGGGAGGGGGCTCGGGGAGGCCCTGACGTCACAGGTGGCTTCAGCCAATCGGAGCTGCCCTTTCCGAGACCCCCCCCGGAGATTCCCAGGCCGGAGCCGGGACCAGGGGCGCGACCGAGCAGCTAAGACCCTCAGCCTGGGCTTAAAAGAGGGCCCGGACCTGACTGGGGAAACCAAGGCTGGGACCCTCCAGGAAGGGGGCGCGGGACCCAGCTGACCCCTCCACGCCTCTGCCCATCCGCCTGGCTCCAGCGCGACCCAGAGAGGGGCATTGGCCGGCGGGAGTCACACAGCAGGGCGGCGAGGCGGGGAGCCCTGATGGGGGGCGCGCAGGCAGCGGGGCGGGGTTTTCCTTCCCCGCAGGCGCCAGGCACCAAGGCCGGGCTAGCCTCAGCCCATCCCGGGGGACACAAAGGCCGCTTGACCCACTCCAGGTCTCCCCGGGACCCCTCGGACCCGGGGCCGCGGCCTGGACACGCAGGGAGGAAGGTGTTGGTGGCCGCGGGCACCCTCAAAACCCGCCCTGGATTCCTGCGGGTCGGAGCTGGACGGGAGCGCAGAGCTGCCCAACCTGACCTGAGAAACTGAGGCCCAGAGGGGCGGGGCTTTGCTCAGAGTCACACAGCTTGGAGGGCTCTGCTGGCGCTGGTGACCTCGGGCAAGGCCCTGCCCCTCCCGGGGCCTCCTTGGCTCACCCGGCGGGCAAGCTGTGAACTTCCTGCCACCCTCTTCCAGGTCAAGGCTCAGACAGTCAGGAGCCCAGGGCGGGGGAGGGAGCAGCCCGGTCTGACCTTGCCCTGGTCCGGGGCATGAAAGACCCATTCATGACTGCCGAAGCCTGGACGGCAGCTGAGCCGGCCCGCGGGGGTGGAGCCTCCCTCAGGGCCTTTGTCCCAGCGGGTCCCTCTGCTTAGTATACCCTTCCCACCACCCCCTGCACCCCATGTACTCCGCCAGATCTGTCTGTCGTCCTTCTATGGCCCCCACATCACCTCGTGGACCTCCTGGGCCGCACAATGTCCCCCGTCTATCTCAGCAGGTATCTGTACCTTGAGTTCGGCAGCCACTGATTCTTCTGTCTCCCCTGCTAGACTGTAGGCAGGAAGCCAGTTTGCCTTGCTGACTGCTCAGTCCAGGACCTGGCACACAGTAGATGCTCAATAAATGTTTGTTGATGGAATAGGTGGCTGAGGAGCCCATTCGGACCAAGGCTGCAAGTGGGAGGGCACAGCACGTGGAAAGGTATAGAGGTGGGAGGGGAATGCAGAGCCTGGACACCAAGCTGAAGTGCTGGGACTTCACAAGCCCCCCATTGCCGGGCTGGCCTCAGTCTCCCCAGGGGGCAGGAGGCAAGGGGGTAGAGTCCAGACAGACACAGGCAGGTGCTTGGCTGATTTGCCTGGGACTCTGGCTCAGCCGGAAAGCTTGTCAGAGCAAAACCACGGGCAGGAAGGCCTGGCTGCTGGCGGACATTTGTGGTCGCCAGTACGGCCCCTGGGCAGCTGCCGGGGGCCTGGAAGAACCGGGTTGTCTCCACGGATGCCAGGGAGGCTGCAGGTGGCCCAGGATCCAATGTCCCACTGCGTGTGTGCGCCACTGGGAAGCCACACAGCCTGCCTGAGCCCCCAGACTGCTGGGAGCCCTGGGTGGGACTCAGCGGGCAAGGCATGCACCAAAGGTGCTTAATAACCAAAGGCAAGAGGATTTATGCAAGCTGGTGGACCTCTCTGTGCCTCAGTTTCCCATCTGTGGGAGGCTCGTGCGGCTGCCCTGAGGACTGAACAATGCGATTTATGCATCAAACATAAGCACACAGCAGGCGTGCAAGAAATGTCACTTAGATAAATACACAATAGTAAAACTTTTATGGAGCACCTCCTGTATACTGGAGATGCCAGAGGGACCGGGACAGCGTGCAGCGCAGTGGGGGAGACCTACACAGTCACACCCATATGGAGAGGTGCTTTGGACAGAGAGGGACATTGAGGTCCTGAGAGGAGCTCTCTTTCTAAGGTCACAAAGGGGCAGGGAGGTTACAGGGAGGTCTCGGAAACAGGAAGACCAGTTTGTTTGGAGTCCCAAAGGCAGGGGGCCAGAGTGCTCCCCACCGGCTGAGGGTATGCTGCAGCCCCCTGGGAACCTCTTTTCGCGTCAGGCCCCATGGGCGCTGGGACAGAAAATAGCCATGGTCTCTGCAGCCAGCTTGCTCTGTTCAAATCCCAGTTCTGCCACTTTCCAACTGGGTGACCTTGGACAAGACGCCCCCCATGCCTCAGTTTCCTTACATGTCTACTGAGTATTGTTTAATATAATGCTTGTGGATTGAATAAATGTCCTCATATATGAAGAGGGCCATGTAGACCCCCGGAGTTCCTGACGCCGCAGCATCCCCATGATCCCCGCGGATCCGATAGAGGATGGATTCTGGGTATGCGGGACTGGCCAGAATGGACCGGGGCAGTAATTTGGGGAGGGGAGCGGCGATCAGGCCCTCCACCGGGACAAAAGCAGGGTACCTTCTCTTGGGTCACTCTTCCACCCTCCACCCCCGCCCCCGCCCCCAGTGCCGCCGGCCGCCCACCTGGCTCCGCCCTCCGTTCCGCGCCACCTTTGCTCCGGGCCGGGTTTTGCGCGGCTCCGGCCCGGCTTGGTAAGGGGGGGGGGTTGCCGGGGGGGGGGGGGGCGGAGGTGGCAGAGTCGCGAGTCGCAGCGGCGGCCGCGGCGGGCAGAGGAGATGCGGCCGCGGCGCGCCCCCGGTCCGGCCGCCGCGCAGCGCCCCCCCCGGAGCCGACGCCAGCGCGCCGGGGGCCGGGGCTGAGCCCCCTCCCCCAGCGCAGCGCAGCGGGCCCGGGGGCGGGGAGAGCGCGCGCCCCCAGCCCCCCTCCCCACCCTGGGATGCCTGGCTGAGCCGGCCGGGCCGGGACAGGTGCGCGCACGAACCGCCCCCCCCCCACCCGCGCCCTCCCGCCCTCGAGCTCCCTCCCGCGCACTCGCGGCGGCCGCGGCTCCGAGGTAAGCGCCCCGGGGCGTCTGCAAGAGGGGGGGCTGGGGAGGCGCTATCCCGGGGGTGTCTGTCGGCACGCAGCTGGGGGCTGAATTGTTGGCTGGGGTGGCCGGGTCAGGCGCTATAATGGGGGGCCTGGGGGCCCCGCCACTGCGAGGGGGATGGATTAGGGCCGGAGAGGGGGTTTGTGGAGCTCTGTAACGGGAGGATCTGCTGGCAACGCAACTGGGGAGGGGGCTGGATTTTAGGGGGGTCGCAGTATGGAGCGATATAATGGGGGTCCAGTAACAACGCTTTGAAGGGTCTGGATTTGGGCCTGGGGCGCTGAATGAGACTCCATAATGGGGGTGTTTAATGGCACCGCAGCTGGGGGGGCCTGGATTGTTGACTGGGGGCCTGTATGTGGAGCTATAATGGGGGTTCTGTCGGCACCGCAACGGGTGGAGGTTTTGTCCGGGGGGGCCGTAAGAGGCATAATAATGGGGGCTCGCGGTTGCGCCGCTGGGGAGCTGGATTTGGGCCCAGGTGGGGGTTTCAGGGCAGGCAGGGGGCCTGCTGGCCGAGGGTGGGAGGTGGTGCTGGGGGGCGGGGCCCTGGGCGCTAAGTCGAGGGCCCCCCGGGGCTGGTGTGGTGGTCCCAGCGAGGTGAGGCCCCTCCGCGCCACTCCTTGGTCCAGCCGCCGCACCTTGGACGCCCCTGAACGAATCCAGGGCCCGGGCCGCGGGGTAGGGGCCGCGGTGCGGGGAGAGAGTCAGCCGGTCCGGTTCCCCCCCGATGCAGTGGGAGCCCAAGGGTTCGCGGCCCCCCAAGAGCTGACAAAGGGACAAAGAAAGCGTCTCCGAGAGCGCTGGGAGGGGTGGGGGGCGCCGAGTGTGGCCCCCTCCCGTGGGCGCTGATTGGTCTCCAGGGTGGGGGTCACGTGCCCCCTGTCCCACTCTCCTCCTCGGGATGCCCTCCGAGTTTGGGGCACCTCCGCCCTGCTCTGCCCCTGCCCGGACGTGTAGACGCTGAAGCTGGGAGTTTTTGCAAGCGTCCTGGGGCTGGGGGCGATTCCCAGACCCTCAACCCCTGTTTGTCCCTGTCTGGCTGAGGTCTTTGGCATCCTCCCCCTTGAGGCTGTCATCTTTGACTCCCAGACTGGAGGGGAACTGGGGCTTGGGGTTAGGGGATTGGGCCCTTAAGTTTTGGGGGTCTCTTTTGGGTTTAAGGAGGAAGGGGGGACTAATGGCTGGGGCTTCAGAAAAGCCCCCCCCCCCCAGTTTGCAAAATTGCATTACTTCATATTTTTCTGGGTTCCCTCAGCTTCTCAAGGGTACAGCGCACTCTCCAAAATCAAAGTTCAGTACCCCCGGGGCATCCCTCCCCTACAGACGCTGGCCAGTCCCTTTCCCATATCCTAGTACATATGTTTTCTCTCAAGGATGAAATTTTGAAATTTTTGAATGTATCTGAGCAATTGCTGAAACTCTATTTAGACAGAGTACAGGGTGTGGGGAGAGGCTGAGAGTCATAGGTGGGGTCAGTATTCTCCTGGGAGGGGGTCCTGAGCTCTTTGGGAAGGTAGCTGGGGGATCCCTGTGGCACAGAGGACCTTGGATATTGGGTAGGTGGCAGACTGGCAGGAGACTCGTTAAACTGTAGCGTGTCCACCCTGAATTGGACCATTCCCAAGAACAAACAGGGAGACTGAGGCCCAGAATGGGTGGAGAGGGAAGCCAGGCCTCTCCACTGCTGGGGCTGTTAGACGGGGTCAAGGGGGAACGGAGCCTCCACATCTGCTGAAACCCAAAATGCCAGCCCAAAGGTTTCCTTGGAAACCCTGGCTCCCCACCCAGCCAACCTGGGCAGGGCAGAAATTAGACCTGGAGCTTCCAACGCCCCACCTCTCTCTAAAAAAAAAAAAGCATCATAGAGAAGGCTGGGGCCTGAAAGCAGGGGTGCTGCTGTGTGGCCTCAGACAGGTCTGTAGCCCTCTCTGGGCTGCGATCTCCCCAGAAGGTTTTAGGACCTGAGTGGAGGGAGATAAGGCAGAGAGAGGTCCCAAGGAATACCCTGGATTTGTAACCTCTCCCTCCAGTCCCCACCTGCCTTCTGCCAGGGCTGAGCACCCATGGGGCCTAAGGGTCCTGTCGCCTCCTCTGCTTTGAGGTGAGAGCACGACTCCCAGCGGAGGTATTGAGTCACCAGGGAGGGGCCATTCACTTCTGTCCTCTGGTCAAAGAAGGTGCTGGAGATGTGAGCTGCAGGAGGGTTTGTCATCTGCAGTGGCTGCCCAGGGCTTGAGCCGAGAGTTGCTGGGGTTACCGGGGGCTGGACCAGGAAGATAGAAATCAAACTGTCCTTGCAAAGGTGACCCTGACGTCAGCTGGCGGGACAGGTAAGCTGGGTCCCCCGGGGCTGAAGGATGTGCCAGTCGCTGCCCATCTCCCGGGAAGGAGGGTGTCCCTAACTGACCCTGTGGTGTGGCCCTGTCCTGTGTGCCCAGCCCTTTGCCAGGTGATGATGGGGAACCCAGAGAGGACTCAGCCAGGGTCAGGACAGGTGGAAGCAGGGATGCCAGTGCCAGCATCCCCTGTCTGGAGGAGGGGATGCTGGCACTGGCCTTGAGGGGTGAGAAGGCGGTTGCCAGGAGGCGAGGGGGGACAGGGATCCCAGGTGGAGGGAGCAGTGGGGAAAACCATGGAGGGGTGTGTTGGGGGACTCCTGAGTGACTGGGCTATTTTAAGGGTGGGAGACAATAAGCAATGAGGCCTGAGAGGTGACAGGGGCCGCGGATGCCAAGCTGGGGAGCAGGCTTTATCCCGAGGGCAATAGGGAGCCATCGGAGATCTTAGAGCAGGGGAGGGAATGGGCCACGTTTCAGACCTTGAGCAGCCGTGGGGAAGGATAGCTACCAGGAGACAGGTTTTCCAGAATGCTGGGAAAATGTTTAGGATACAGTGATTCCAAAATTCTAAGCCATTTAAGGGGCTGCAGGTTCTCAGACTGATTCATCCAAGACCCAGTGGTGATTGGGGTTGACCGTGGGTGGGGCCTCATTTAGCAGAAACAGGGACACTGAGGCTCATGGCAGCCTGGGAGGGGGCCCCGGCCGCCTGCCCCACATCCCGTGGTCAAATTATCTAGGAGTCGGCTTCAGGGGACAGACCCACACGCCAGATACCCCCACCATTGTGATCGGTGTAGGTTGCCAGAGCCAGGGTTTGATGTGTGGCCTGAGAGGTCTGGGCCTGAGCCACATAATTCTCTCTTATTATCACAGTCGTTCATCACCTGCCCTTGAGGGATGTCCAGATGAAGTGGCAGGCATTAGAATGTGCAAAGGAGGTGACTTGGGAGGCCAAGGACCTCCTCTTCCATCTCTTTGGGCAGGGATACAGGGGTGGCCTCCTACCAGCCACCCTTGAAGCTCCTTCGCTGGCCCCAGGGTCCAAAGGTGGTAGCCCCAGGGTCCAAAGGTGGTAGCCCCAGGGTCTGCTGGGAGGGAAGCCCAGTCTAGTGAGGACTACATTTCCCAGGGTGCATTTTGTCCCAGGCTGAGCCTGCCTTCCAAGGGCTGACCTAGGAGAGAACTTCCCAACTGCAGGATCCCAGAGAGGATTGTGGGTACATGGGTTTTCAGGAGGGCCCGGGGGAGACCTGGTCTAGAGTGGTAGGGAAGGTCAGTCACTAAACAGATGCTCCCAGTGGCCTCTGTGTGCCTGGCCCTGGGCTGGGTGATGCTGGGATTGCAGAGAGGGAGATTTAGCTCTAGTTAGTGCCTGGTTGGCCCTCAAGGGTCTTCCAGGCTCAGGGAGGGGAAACAGGCAGACCCTGGCCCTCTTGGCTACATGGGATCAGAGTTGGGGCAAAATGGGGCTGAGGAAATATGGCTCTTCCCAGTGGATCAGAGAAGATGCATCGAGGACGGGCATTGCCTCTAGGACCATGACAGATGTGTAGGAGTTCACCAGGGGGAAGCGACATGTTTTCTGATAGTTTCAGAACCTTCTCCCTTTCCTGAAGGCCCAGTAAGAATCCCCTGGGGCAGTTGAGACAGCCCCTCTGAATTTTTGCCTTTAGAGGTTGCCACAACAGTTGGGTCAGACTTACCTGGGTTGGAATTCATCTCTTCATTCACTCACTCCCTCATGCCCCGTCTCTAAGCCTCAGTTTCCCCATCTGTGAAACATGGATGCTATTCTCTCTCCCTTAGGGTTGAACATTTAAACAAGAGGATGCAGGGAAGGTGCCAGGTCTGGACCTGTTCTTTTCTTACTCTGGAAAAAGGAATAATTTTGAAAAGCAGAAGCGTGTGGCCTCTGGTCCTGATCTCATTGAGAGCTGTGGGGTCTTTGCTGTCATTTCATGAGTTGACAGATGTTTAATGACTGCCTACTATGTGCCAGGTGCTGGGAACCCAGCAATGACCAAGGCAGACCAGGCCCTGCCCTTGCCAAGCTCACACTAGATGGGACCATGGACGCTAACTCAGGAGAGAAAGTGAATGGAGCATAACAAGTGCCCCGAGGAATGACACTGAGAAGGGCGGGGCTGTTTTAGCTGATGATGTCAGGGAGGGTGTCTCTGAGGAGGTGGTGTTTGAGCTGAGACCTGGAAAATGAAAAGGAGCCAGTCATGCAGAGAACTGGAAGAGCCTTCCGGGCAGAGGGCACAGCCCGTGCAAAGGCCCTGGGGCAGGACCGTGCACGGTGTGTTGGAGGAACAGTGAGGAGGCCCCTGTGTCTGGAGCAGAGGGAGCGAGGGGGAGAGAGGGAGGAGGGGAGGGCAGGGAGTGGACGGCGCAGGTCATGCAGGTCCCTGTGGGCCACAGGGAGGACTTGGACTTTTATCCCAGTGAGGTGGGAGCCCTGGAGGACTCTGGGCAGAGGAGAGGCAAGGCCTGACTTAAGTGCTCACAGGCGCCTTTCGGCTGCTGCAGGGAGCAGACTGTGGGCAGCAAGGGCCAGAGCTGGGAGACCAGGGTGGAGGCGTCTGCGCTGGTCCAGATGAACCATGATGGGGGCCA